TCCTAGATAAAATGGCCATCTCAGTAAGCACTTGAGTAAACCAAATGAAATCTACTTTGAAACATGAATAATTTCACTGTTATTCCACTTAACATTTTTTTAATGTTCATCCTGCATCTTTGAAATTTTGTATTAGTTAAAGAGTCAGAGGATTAGAGCCTGAAAGAGCACTATAGCTTGCAAAATAGAAAATAACAAGAAGACAAATGTAAGAAAAGGAGAAAATGAAAAAAAAAAAAGAATGCTGACTCTTTTTATCTAGGCTATAAACACAACATTTCAACCTTGAAAATGTTGCTAAATGACTGAAAGAATGCATATGTTTAGAGTATTCTTTCTAAAGAGAAATGCTATATAATTGAGTATGGGCTCAATTTTTAAATCAAACCTTTTTGACTATTCTGAAGTGTGCCTATACATAACTCCATCAGGAAAATCTTGTCTCTTATCATACTATTATGAAGTGAGGCATTGTGTAAATAAGCAAAACAACAGGTGTTACACATCTGTTCTTTCATTCACCAATCCAGACTCTCTTTAGTGAAGCTATAGTAGAATATATAAATTATTAGCACAATTCAACTGGAAAGCCACACATAGAACATTAAAAACCTATATCAGTTATTAGACAAATATCCCCAAGAGTTTAGATCTAGGTCTAACATTATCGATATTATTGGAATAATGAAGTAAATTTACAGTAAATTCAGCAACTTAGCAAGGTTTCCCCTTATTGTATTCTACAGAAAACTCTGAACCTTCATACTTTAGTTGCAAGCATCATCATCAACTTAGGAACACAAGTAAGAAATTTCAAAATCATCATTAATTAGTTGTTCACCACCTCCCTGTCATATCTCTACCAGTGTCTATCAAATCTATTCACAAAATGTCTTTGAAGGCCACAAAGACTTTCTCATCCTTGATGAAATAGCCTTTGCTCACTTTTTTTTTTTTTTTTACCATTTCCAGTCTTGAAAACTGGACTCCTTTCCTCAATTCATTTGGCTTATTTCTAGCTCCCAAATGCTGAAGAGTTTATTAATAAAACAAACATCTACTCACTTTAGTGCCCTCCTCAAAGTTTTCTGGTGGCTTTTCATCACCTACTCAAAGTTCTTTCCAGTGAGGCCTCTACTCATCTACCCAGCCTCATGTTCTCCTACCTCTTTCCAAACAAACTCTACTCCATCAAACCATCCATAATACCCACAAAGTACACCATTTTCCATGTACTCTTTTGGATGGCCAGAATGTCCTTCCAATCTTCTCTGCATCTGGGAGCTCTTCCTCTGCTTTCAAAGCTCAGTTCAATTGCCACGTCCTTTTTGAAGTCTGTAAGAACCATCACAGGACTGATTTACCACACAACTCTGTATCATTCTGCCTCAGCACAGTGCAGACTACAAGAATAACTTGTTCGCCTTCTGACTCTATTCCATATTGAACATCTCAAAGAAAAAAGATATCATTTCACTCATGTATCTTTTTTAAACTTAGCATTTATTAGGTGATCATGTGATCTGTTTGTAGAAATGACTATAGTCTAAAATGATATATTTGGACAAAAATTAAAGATTAAGAATGGCTAATATATCCAGATATGAATTTAACATCTGTAGAAGGATATAGAATTATAGAGAAGTATAGGTAAAGAATTATAGGGAAGTGTAGGAAAATTACTAAAAGAAGACTCAGAGAATATAATTTGAGTTATTTAATGGGACAAAAAAAAATACTATTGAAGTTGCTCTTTGCCCCCATAGAAATCATATTCCCTTGTTCCCAACATTTTTATTTCTCCTAAACTGACTATGTATGTGACTCTATCACATTCCTTCAAGATCCTACATGATTTCTCCACTTCAAAACTAGTGCTGACTTCCCAGATGGTCTCAAACCTCAGGTTCCCTTTGAGTATATTCAGCCAGGTCTCTCCATTCTCAACAACCTGTCTATTTAATTAACTTACTTCTCTGAACTATAGTTGTCTCTATCAACTTTTCTTATGCTCAGTTTCAACCATCACAGCTGACCTACATTTTTTCTGATTTCAATTGTCCTGTCCTGTTTTCCATGGCTTTATCAACAACCCAATGTCATCTAAAATTTTAAATCAACATTGTATAATTTTCCTAATTCATCTACTTTTCTAGATTTGTTTCCATTTGCAGGACTCTACTAGCTTTCTAAAATTCATACAACCTCATGACTATCTGAATTCTCTCAAGGAGAGGGATCAGAGACTCTTTTCCATTCACAATCTATGCATGGATAAGAAATGCACAGATTGGTCCATTCTTAAATCCACCATCTTTCTATCATAGCTAATATGCAACTTTTTCACCTCATTATCTTATTATGGCCTACACAATAACACCCTAAAGAGCCCATTGCCTCTTAGCTTGTCCTTGGCAGGTGCCATCTGCTCTGCTCTTCTCAGGTTTCACCCTAGCTTGGATTCTCTGTCTTACCAGGCACATGACTGCTAGCTCCCACCTCTAAGCCTTCACACATACCATTCTTTCTGGCTGGAATGCTCTCCCTGCTTGCTGTCTTCTGCTAAGCCCCATTATTCTCCTTCTCCTATCTTAAGATACATGTCTTCAACATGGCTGGCCTCAAGCCACCCTACTCTGGTCTCATTGATTCTGTTGGTTCTAGTTTCCTTTCAGGACATCTCTATACCCCTGCTTCTTTGTATTTCTGTTATTTTCCATTTTTCACTAGAACTTGCATTACGACGCCAATTAGCCACACCATTGTAGTTTCTATCTCCATATTTTTCACCTCTAGATCCACTCTGTACCCACTGAGCATTTCTGCTGTCTCAGAAAATGAACTAAAATTGCATCAGATGAGATTACACTGGAGAACTAGAAAGTAGATGGAAAATTTCCATTTCCAGAGAATAACACAGGCTTTCATCTATTTTGGATGGTTCCCTTGGATAATGATTCAGAATCAGAGACAATCACATTCAGTTTTCTTTCACCTCATTGACATTTCTGTTATCTATCCACAACAGACTCACTCTCTTCTATTGCCACATCTTTTCCCTCCTTTTCCAGGAAACCTCACTTCTCCCTCCCCACGCCGCGCACCACCACCACTTTGAGCCTGGACAAAACCTCATGCCAGCACCTGTCAGTGACCTTCTACATTTTCTATCCCCTAGGGAAAGAATTATTTTATAACCACGAGGCCTACCTCCTTATTTCCACCTTAAAGAGATATTCCTACCTTAAGAACTCATCAGCCTTCTCCAGAATGGGCATTTACATTTTGCATCACTGGAACACCTACACATCTCTGGTTTCTCCTTTGTAGGATCACATCAAAGATGCCTATTTTGTCCTATGGGTTTGGCTCACCTACTAGCTGGGAGATCCTGAAAGACCAAGTGTATCAGCAGGGGTTTTTCTTTAACCTCTTAAAGAAGTACTTGATTTGTAAGGAGAGAGATACCATTGTTTTCTTTTTCTTTTTCTTTTTTTTTTTTCTCTGTAGGGGTGGAGGATAGGGGTTGTAGGGGCTTATTTCACCCACCCCAAATCAGGCAGACCTAAAAGTAAAACTCCACTCAATGCCCCTACCACCCTCACATCTTTTTCCTCCTCAGACTTCTCCAAGCAGAAGATGGGAACTAAGGTGTCTTGGAATTGGGTGTAGTAGGGTCCCAGGGATGGCGGGAAGTGTTAGCACAATTTATTTCCGCTACCTTTCCATTTTCCCGCCCACAAGCTGTGGGTGTTCTTGAGCCACAGAAATTCCTGGATGGTCCTATTTAAACTGTATTTTCAACATTTTATGCCACCTTATTTTGGTTCCGAGTTCACTGTCCCCTGAAGCTGGCAAAACGTTCTTCCTTTCTACCTCCAGGAAATACAGCTCTTTGGGGGCTAAGTGTATAACTCGGCTTGTCCTTCCGCCCATCTGCCCACCCAATCTCCTACTTCTAGCTCCCTCAATAATCTATATGGGGCGGGTTTTGCTTACACGCCCGCCTGTTTCAAACGAGCTAGCGTGCCGGGTGGCGTGCTTGGTTCCCGGCCAACAAACTTCTTCGGGACCCTGCAGCGCCCTAGCTGGGCTGCGCGGCGCCGCCTCCCTTCTCACGGCAGCGGTGGCGGCGGCGCGGACGCGTTGACGGCGGTGGGGGCTGGATGCTCGCAGCCGAGGCGGCCGAAGCTGGGCGGTTCTCCCCGCGCCCGCACCGGGACCTTACCGCGGCGGCGACGGCGGCGGACGCGGCAACGAGGACGGCGGCGGCGGCGCTGGGTCCCGCGGCCCTGCGTCTGCCGCAGGGTAATTAAGGAGCAGGGTCGGACGCACGGGGCAAGCGGGGTTGGGGTGGCTGGAGCCCTGGATCCCCAACCCCCTGCCGCCCCTGCCGCCCCGCTGAAGCCGCACTTGGGAGAAATGCCCGCGTGTCCGAATAGGTAACCCGGCCAGTAAGCAAGGCACCGGAACCTCGCTTCTGCTAGCTTACACCTCTCAACTGGATAACATCTCTAGGCGTAGATCAAAATAAAGCTCTAGCGGCGTGAATTTATATTGGGATTATTCGTTCTATGGCTTTATCCCCGCAGATTTTTTTTTTTAATTTGATGTCTATTTTCTCCCGCATCAGCATGGCTCATAGTTCTGCTTCACAATCACACATAGCCAGAAAAACACCACCTAGAACTAAAGTGTAACGCATAAAGCCTGCATTATGTGAACATAAGAACGCGATGCACATTATAGGTAGCATATTAAAGTAGCCATATGGTATCGGACCTTTTTTTTTTGATCCCATCATTGAGCTACCTATGGGAATGCATAAATTGCAGGTATGCATATTTATCCACCGAAACATATTTACATATGTAGCAGTTTTTATGTTTTCTTGAGAAGCAGGTTCACGCAAATGACCAGATACATGAGCAGATGACACAGACCGGGCATGTGTGAGAGAGATCAAGTGAAAGGGCCGGTCGCAAAGCTGCGCAGCTTACCTTGAATTTGTGTTTGAGCCCCTCTGAGGCGCAGTGGAGTCCGGACAGGGCTGCCGCACCGCCGAGGAGTGGCCCGAGTGAGCTCCCTGTGAGTGGGGAAGGGGGACGCATCTCTGCCCTTATTAGTCTCTCCCAGTGTGACCCTCCCACTCGGTGAGGACGAAGGACTCCGCAAGACAGTACTCAGCCAACTCATGCACAGGTTTTCCTTAATTACAACAATGTTGCCTTAGACCTGGGAATAATGTCATTCAGGTTTGCGTTTTATTAGCAGTTTCACCGATAGAATGACGGATGAATGCAGATGCTTAGTTTCTCACTTCTGGTTGTGAAGAAGTGTCTTTGAAGTATTATATGTAGCATAAATTTACAGGCAGATAATTGGCTTTTTAACAGTTGAGCTAAAAAGGGGTATCGTTTATGTTTCATTTTTCACTTTTATGTCAGGAGTTTATATAAAGTTAATCAAGAGAATCTGCCTGTCTTCTAATCATGCCCATGTGTATAGGCTCGTGTGGCTTGATTTGTCTCAGAATTCACAAAGTATTTTGTCATTTAAAAATATCATATCTTTCTATAGATTGGGGCTACAAATCTTGGTCTTCAAACTCTTTGAGATCTCTGAATATGGAAGGCGGTATTTTTCTGCCAATCTGTGTGTGTGTGTGTGTGTGTGTGTGTGTGTAAGAGTATGTAGATATTATACATATATAGGTATATATAGTACATATATATGACATATATATATATATATATATTTGTAGGTGTATATACGTTGATGGTAGACATATATGCATTAGGTAACAACATTTGGTTTAATGTTTTTAGTTATTGGCACAGTTGGAAAAATAAATTATATTTTATTTATAATGGTGAAAACTATTAAGCTTGAAGGTTACCTTTGCACCACAGAAATAAGTTTCACATTTCAGGGTTCACAGATCAGGGAATAAGTGAAATCAGGCTTACAAAAAACTAAAATGTTAAGAAAAAATTTAAAAGCCACCTCATTTTCACTTCATTAGAGTGAACCCATTAACTGCAAGTGTTAACTAGTGGTTTTTAAGCCTTTGATTCTAATTAAAATACTTGCAGTTTTAGTATTTACATCCATAGTGATCCAAACTATGTTTGTATGTCAGGACTTAAAATCGCCTGAGATGTTTCCTTCTCATATGATTTTATTTCTCATTTTTGGTTGACTGTGGAAAGAAGCCAAGGACAAAAGCTACCACAAGTCAGTCAGCTCAAAGGGCCACTTGAAAACTGTGATTCACAAGCTTTTTCATTAGGCATTTGGTGATCATTTCTTATTGTTTTAAAGCACTATTCTTATTCAAATTTTTTTCTCCCTAGTAATTATGTTTTATGTATCTGCTACTGAGTTGAACCAAGAGCATTAGGGTTTTGTTTTTCCTCACACTTGTAAATTCACCTACCTATATTTAATTGATTGATGCTATTTAAAATAAGGTCTTAAAACTACCTAATAGGAAGCTCACAATTTTGTCTCTAGTTTATGTCTTAATACAAATAAATCATCTTAATTTTAGCATTATCTCATAGGTGTTTTAATAATTTCACAATCTATATTTTTGTTTCTATCTCAAAATGCTCCTTTGCTCATTCATAACATAGAACCAAACTAAGTTTTGGAAGAGTGAGAAATGAATAAATAAAATTTGAAATTATTATTATCTGATGCTTACTTAGTTCCCAGATACATCAACATCCCTAGATCACTAAAGGTTTATCTATTTTCTCTCAGGAAAGGGTTTGAATCTAGACTGGTTTCATGATCACAACTTGTATCCCTAGGTTTTGGAGTTTTATCCAATTCTTTTATTGAAGTTTAAACTGACTTTGGGTAGAAAGAGCCATTAACCAAACACCTTTTATTTATCTAAGCCAAATATAATTATAAATGATCAGATTTTCTGCTTGCTTCTGAAACTACCACTGGTGAACAAATACCTGAAAATAATAGAGGAGTCTGACAGGACTCTAAATTCCAACAAATAGCTTCCAGTGCTTCTAATACCCAGTTTAGCAACCGCCCCCCCCTTCTCTCTCTCCCTCTCTCTCTCTTTCTTTGTGTACTTAACATTTAAAAGATTTACAAGCACAAACTGCTTTTGACATTTATGCCCCATGGAAGACAAAATTTAACTATTTTTATGTCAAATGAACAATAAATTCCATTCAAAGCATTAATCGTAGTTCCATATTTGTAATGCCTCACATAAACTGAACAATTTAAAATGAACGTTGTACCATATTTTGATAATTTGGGTAGAATAAATTTAAAGAACATGTTTCTTCTAAGCCTCACTTCTCAAGGTCTTCTGTTTAACATCTATTTTTCCCCCTTTCTTTTTTTTCTGTAGTTCTGTACTTCCAGGAAGCTTTTCTTTTTCCCTTTTATAATTTCTTTCACTTTCCTCCCCTACATAGATTCCATTTTTCAAGAAGAAAGAATTTCAGCATTGCCCCCAGCTAACTTCTTAGCTACCAAACCATAAAAGTATTCATTCTTTATTGAATTTACGGGGTACAGCCATACATGACTTCCACACATATCCATGGAAATACTTCAATGCATCAGTAGTGGATGAACAGACCTTACTGTTAACTGTAATTACCAAAGCTGACTTGTCATCGCTAGCACGCACTTCCCATTATGTCCTTCTTTAGGCCAGTACTAACGTGTGATATTCTTAAGTGTAAAAAGAAAGCATTCGTGATAGTTCTAAATTCTTAGTAATTGTCAAAAGTAGGTTAGGGCATCTTTTAATTCCAAATTCTAGTTTTATCCTTGTTTCTGAAAATTCTCCTCATAGAGAAATAAATGTGCCACTAGTTCCTTTTATATTTGCTCCATTCCTGGAAGACATTCTAGCAAGTGATACTCAGTTTAGAAATGAGAGGAGGAGGGGAATCACAGATGTGACTTTCATTTAGTGTATTAGACCCTCTTCCTAGAGATCAGTGATGCTGACGGGAAATATGATAAAAGACAAGGGACTGACTAGGGATATTGTTTATTAACATTCATTCAGTTCTCAAAAATAATTTTAGAGGGAGAGAAATTCCCAAGTAGAAAAATAGGGGGAGAGAGAGAGAGAGAGAGACCACAAAAGAAATGTAAAAGGTCAATAAATTCATGAACAAATATTCGACTTAATTAGCATTTGAAGAAAGGCACATTTGTAAAGGAACTATTTTCCTCATCCCATTTTGCCAGGATTAATATTATTAATTATCATGGTGTTGGCATAAGTGAAGATCATTCTCTATACCTCTAAGAGGAGTATAAAACAGTTCAGTCTTTCTAAAGGGCATATTAGCCATGCATATTAAAAACTTAAAAACATGCATGTAGACTGCATCATCAATTCCTCTAAAATGGTAACTGTGGCTATTTCTAGGTTAGGATTATGGGGATTTTGATTTCTTCCTCTTGTTTATCTGTAATACATACAAGTTTCTACAGTGAACATGATTACTGTTGTAATAACAAAGCAAATATGAAAAAGTATAGCATATTTTCTCTAGCATATTGATAAAGCAGTAGTCTTAAAAGAGCTAAGATATTGACTTAAAATACTGTTTTCAACATTTCCAACAAGAATCTTTCAAATTAAAACTAATATGCAACTTAAACCATTTAAACTGAGTCTAGTGAATTCACCAAGAAACAGATATTAATTAAACTGCTCATTCATTCAGTACATACCTTTTAATGCCTCTTAGCTAAGCACTGCAGAGTACACACAGATAGGTTGAACATGGGCCCCCACCTCCTGGATTTTAACATTTGGTAAGAAAAAGAATATCTGCAAACATATATAATGATAATATAATATGAAAATGTAAAGTGGAATAAATTTACACGAGCATTATACTTACAAAAGAAATATACTTACAAAAGAAATATATTTACAAAATTATTATAGTATTGTAATTAAATAATTATTTGTGAAATTAGGGGTTTATTGTTTCTTTAATTAATGTTTGTAGAAAACACCAACAAAACACATGGCCATTTCTTTCCCCGTTCCCTGGAGAAACATGAAGTTTCTTATTTCCTGCTGAATTAAATTCGTTCTCTAAAACTGAAGGCCATAAACAGTGACACTCTAATCTACTCTTATCAGTTCCTTAAAATGTTCATTACGCTGCAACCAGGTTTAATGACTTGTAACTACAGAATGGGCATGTCTCACGCTTACTCATGTTGCTTCCTCTGGTTGAAATGTGAAATGGCTATTGAAATTCTGCCAATCATTCAAGGCTTATTTCAGGTGTTATCTATAACATGCTTCCTTTCCTTCCCCTCTTCCCTTCAAAAAAAACCCTCCCCTGTCTTTAAACAGGACAGAGAACAATTTGAGCTTCTTTAAAAACAATCTATATTCCTCTGCCTTATTTCACAGATGTTCCTGTACCTGGCCCTCTGATTTCCTCGTATACTCCCTGAGGACTGGAATTGTATGTAGTTTTAAAATATTTGTTGAAAGAAGACCTGTAGAGGTTAAATAACCAAAGAACCAAGGACATACAGTTTTGTAATGATAAAGTTTGGATTGAATATTAGAATGGGATAGAAAGATGATAGGTTAATTTTTGCATTATATCTAATGGAATCAAGTTACTCAGCTGATAAAATAATCATGGAAAAATTATTTTCACCTATAAAATTCCCAAAGCAAGGACTCACAGCACAGCAACACATCAAGACAAGCCTGTCACTCATTGAAAATGTCATTGTATATCCTCTTCACCCTTTCTCCAAATTTAAAGTTAGTTTAAATTAGAAGACAATATTGCTTAATCATATTATTTTTAAAACATGAAAAATAATCTCTAATTAAACTTTATTCCAACTTCTGAATGTTTTTAAATAACCAATCCTATCTATAAAAAAATTTAAAGAATAATTTAATGTTAGCACATTATGAATAATTACAGTTAATATGTCAAATTTATGTGTATAAAATGCTGATTCATTTCATTGCAGCTTCTTTTTGGAACATTTATTTTCAATTTAGAACGTATTTAGCTTATTCCATTATCCTCATAGAATCTTTTTATTATTTACAATCACTATATACAATACATAGTCTTAAGTGGTTTATATATTTTATTTTTCAAATAAAATTTTTCTTCAGTGACACTATTTATTGTTCTCTTTTTATAGTTTAGAAGTAAGTCTGTGAACAAATCCCTGAAAGAGTAAAG